TCTTTTTGCTTATGTGGTGCTGAGGAATCGAACCCAGGGCCTCAGGCATGCAAGGCAAGCGCTCTACCACTGAGCCACCTTCCCAGCCCCCCTGTCCATCTTTTGTATTAATCTTATGCGAACAATTTATGAGGAGGGCTGAGCAATAGCCATGTATTCCTCTGTCTTCAATGGAAACGATCTCGTTTCATCTCCAAGAAACCTGACCTTATTCTCTCAATTCACATTAACTTTCGGAATCAGTGTCATTTGATTTTGATTAGCTGCCCTTATCTTACCCAGAATTCCCTTCTCCTCCCACTCTGTGTCTGAGAGGTTGTACACACACACACACACACACACACACACACACACACACACACTCACAGAGGCACATTGCCCACGCTGCACCTTCTGTTTTCCATATCTGTTGGATCCAGATTGGACTGGTCCCAAAAGCAAGCCCTGGGGTGGCTGGAGAGCAACTAGAAGGATTTCTCTCTCCTCCCTGCTTGGTCCTGGGGCTCTGGCAATAAGTAGCAGAATCCCTCTAGATGGCAATGCCTGCTCCTGAGTTCTTAGCCCTCAGCCCTATGGGTCTTACCAGATTCCCTTCAAGGCTAGTCTCTAGTTGCCTCCACCATTTGTGCCTTTAATCCTACCCATATCCACCTCTCTAAGTAAGCCCTTCATCAAATATGTCTTTGAAAATCAGAGTGAAATTTGTTTCCTGCCAGAATTGAGACCAATAGCGATCTTTACATTCCTCCATTATCCTCTCTTGACTCCAGAGGTTTCACAAGTACAGATCATTTACTTAATCTAATTTCCCAGAGTACTATTATGTGGAATATATATGTGTATCTATATATATATATATATACATATACACATCTATGGATATATCATATATATATAAGTATATATATATACATACATGTGTGTATGTATGTGTGTATATACTCATATATATCTCCATATGAAGGTACTTAGGGTACTACATTATCCTAAAGTGATATAAGGAATTAAAAACATACCAAGCACCAGTGGCTCATGCATCTGAGAATCTCATTTCCAAGCCAGCCCAGGAAGGAAAAATGCATGAGATTCTCTCCAATTGACCACACACACACACAAAAGCTGCAAGTGGAGCTGCAGCTCAAGTAGTAGAGTTCCAGCCTTGAGCAACCAGGAATAGTACCCAGATTCTCAGTTCAAGCCCCATGACATGAAAAAAAAGGAGAAATAATAATTTTAGTATAATCATTGAATTTTTCCCTCTGGAATAAGCTCATAATTAATTTCAGCAGACATTTCTCTTTGTATGTGAGTATAGTATTTGGAGCTTCAAGAAGAATTTTGGTAGCCAGGGACCAGTGATTCACACTTGAAATCCTCCTACTGAGGAGACAGAGATCAGAGGATCTTAGTTCAAAGCCAGCCCAAGATGTGACATCTCATCTCAACCATTAGTGCACATGTGATGGTGCCAACACGGGAGGCTGAGATCCGGAACATCACAGTTTGAAGCCAGCCTGGGCAAAAAAGTTTATGAGATCCCTCATCTCAATAGAAAAAGCTGTGTGCTTGTCATTGTAGCTATGGTGGGAAGAACAAACAGGAAGATCAGAATCCAGGCCGCACTCGGGGGGGAAAAAAGGAGACCCTATCTCAAAAACAACCAGAGCAAGAAGAGATAGCGAAGGAGCATGAGCTATAGAGTACCTGTCTAGCAAGCAGAAAACCCTGAGTTCAGTACCACCAAAAAAAGAGAGAAGGAAAGAAAGAAAGAAAGAAAGAAAGAAAGAAAGAAAGAAAGAAAGAAAGAAGAAAGAGAGAAGGAAAGAAAGAAAGAAAAGAAATTTTATGATGTAAAAAGACATTCTGGAATCCTAACTATGCAGGTAACATGAGAATCAGCTTTGGTTCATCCTTCCCGTATTTGTCCATATCAGTGGTAGCTTCCCTGTAATTTAAATGGTGGAAATGCAATGGAAGACCCTAGGGCATCATGGAGAAAGAAGGGCAAATGGTTTCAGAGAGAACTCTGAGAATGCCTTTCATCAAAGCTTTAAAGACTTAGATCTAGCACAGTGCCTTGAATGCGGGTACCTTTTCTTTTCTCTTTTTGGATTGAACCCAGGGTCTCATGCTTGCTAGGCAGGTGCTCTAGCCTCTCAGCTATCCCTCCAGGACTTGTTCCTGTTGGTTATTTACAAAGTAGGGTCTTGTTTTATGTCTGGGGCCAATGTGGGCTGTAATCTTCCTGTTTGTGCTTTCCTATGTCTTTGGGATGACAGACATACTCCACTGTGCCCAGCCATTGTGCTTCCCCTGTAGCTGGTATGCGTTATTATACCCAGCCTCTGGTTGAGATGGAGTATCTCAAGCTTGTTTTTGCCCATGCTGGCCTTGAACAATAATCCTCTGATCTCTGCCTCCCAAGTAGCTTGAATCACCATGCCTGGCTCTCACTGTTTTGATGAGTGAACAAATTAAACTTTTTCCTATTAAGAATATTCTTTAAGGAAGTGGTGCTGTGGCTCAAGTGGTAGGGTGCGAGCCTTGAGCTGAAGAGCTGAGGGACAGCTTCCAGGCCCAGAGTTCAAGCCCCATGACTGACAAAAAAAAAAGAATATTCTTTAAGATTAGTGCCCACAGAATCTAAAATCACAGCATATTAACAAAGCAAAAATAAAGTGGCATTCAGCAACAGCTAGTTTTATATATCCAAGACACAGAGGATTGAAGTGACATATTCAAGACCACATAACTAGTAAGTGGCAAACTGGATGTGTGAACCAATCCGGCCTTGCTCCTATCCCCTATTCACTATCTTTTTCTACCTAATTAGAAAAAAATACATTGATCATATGAATGAAGCAGTTAACCCCTGAAAGATCTCCCTTGTTGGCTCTAATGAAAGTGGCCCTCCACTGAGTAATTCATGAATCCCTCCACTCTGTTTTTACTTCTTTAGAGCATTTATATGATAAATATCTCATTTTATCTTTATCCTATCTGTCGATTCATTCATCCAGCATACATCTATCCATCTACTAATTCACTCATCCACATTTATTGTTTATGAGTTCCCCTGATTAAAATACAAGTTCCACAAGAGAGCTTACTTACAGACCTCATAAATACACTTGTAATAACTAAGCAGTTTTAGAAAATCTTAGGCCCTCAATAATAAATATATAATGGCTGAATGAATAAACAATATATAGTCAGTACATACATATAAGAATATAATATATATACATATTACATATGTATATATATATATATACATAAACAAGTACAGGAAGACAACTAGAAATATTTAAACATGACTTGGCATACAGAAGCCCCATCTATGTAGGTGGGATTATATGAATAAGTGATTTTTTACATTTCATTCAATTAGTTAATTTTTGTGCAGATCCTAGGGCTCGAACTCAGGGCCTGGGCACTGTCCCTGAGCTTTTTTGCTTAAGGCTAGTGCTCTACCACTTGCTACCATTGCTGGCTTTTTGGTGATTAATTGGAAATAAGAGTCTCGAGGACTTTCCTCCTAGGCTGACTTTAAACCATGATCCTCAGATTTTGGCCTCCCAGTAGCTAGGGTTATAAGCATGAGCTGCCAGTCCCTAACTGCTTTTCATTTATTTTTAAAGAATAAGAGATAGAGACAGAGGTACTGTAGGAGATCAGATTCTCTCCAGAATGAATAAAGTTGATATGTTGAACTAGCATAGGATGAACTGTCCAGATGTGACTGAGCTTTCTTTCCTTTCAGATGCTCAGAGTTTGAATCAAAACTTGAATCTTATGGCAAGGAACTGGACGGCTTTAGGAAGCGTGAAGTGATGACTACAGAAGAAATGAAGAACAATGTTGAAAAGCTTACTGAGCTTTCCAAGAACCTAGATCATGCACTGGTGGAATTTGAGGTTTGGGTCTTGGATGGTTACCTAATTAATGACTTCACTGGGATAGCAATTATGATTCTTGGTTTTATGTTTTCCCAATGACACCTATCAGGTGGGTAATGATTGATTGATTGGTTGATCATATTTTTCATTGGTACTTTCAACATCTGTTCACAGCATCCCTGCATTGCAACAGAGTTTTTGTAAGTTACTGAGTACCAAAAGAAGAAATTAAATTAGGGGAACTGCTTCTGTGTAGTGAGTACTTAGATGTTCCTTGATATATAAATGGCTTTCTGTATAACATCTCATTTATTGCCTGGGGCAAATCTTTGAAGTTTGTTAAAGTTGGAGTACTAAAACTTGGAGACACTAAGTATCTTTCTCCAAAGTTCAGCTAGTAAGTTTTTAGGTCATGAAAGTTCTTATCTTTGAGGCAAATTCGTGTAAGAAAGGCTCATAATCATTTAAACAACCAAAGTACATATAAAGATTATGAAAATGGTGAGATTGGGAACAAAGATGGAGAAAGTAGTAAACTATTCTACAGTTCCATCAGCAAGGTCTGAGCTGCCATGGTTCTTGGAGGTAGCAAAAGGATCTTATTTTCCTCTCTCTATTACTCTCAAGATGAATGAGCATCTTTCTCCATTTGAGTTTTTTCAAAGGGATTTTGCTGTGGGGCTCAGGAGAACCTCTTAACCCAACAGACAGCCTCTTATTTTGCTCTACAGTTAATCAACAAGGAGGAAGAGCTGTTAGAAAAGGAAAAGAGTACCTTTCCTCTTCTTCAATCCTTGATGGCCCTCAAAGTACCATATGAGCAACTGTGGGTGACAGCCTATGACTTCAGTTTGAAGTCCGAGGAGTGGATGAACGGTACCTCACATTCTCATTCTGCTAGGGTGGAGGGGAAGGGTTGGGGAATCTACTAGGTAGCCCTGAAATCAAGTTTGCTCTTCAGATTCTGGCTGGAATCTTCATCAGATTCTGACACTTAGGATTAAGATAGCTACATTTAGCCAGGGCCCCCGTGGCTCATGCCTGTAATCCTAGATACTCAGGAGGCTGAGATTTGAGGACCGTAGTTAAAAGTCAGCCGAGTTAGGAAAGTCCATAAGACTTTTAACTACAAGTAACTACCAGAAGGGTGGAAATGAAGCTGTGGCTCAAGAGGTAGAGTGTCAGCCTGAAGCAAAAAAACAAAAACAAAACTAAAAGACAGCTCGCAGGCCCTAAATTCAAGTCCCAGTACCAACATACACACACACACACACACACACACACATGCACACACACACATGCACACACCAGCCTTGAAGTGATAACAGAGAGAGACAAGGATCAAAGAGCTAGACCTGATTCTAGGATAAAATCAAATCGATAAGCATCCATTGCTATGGAACAGGAATGACTGGAGAAGCACATGGTGGGACAGTAGAAGCTCTCAGTTCCTCTCTGGAGCTGCTGCAAGAAGGGACAGAGTGCCAGAAGTATCTGAAAACTTCATCTCCTCTGGACTTGGGAGTTTATGGAGGCATTGGGGAGGTTATATCAGCAGCATTTAATGATGGCTCCACCCTGGTGGAAAGGGCGGAGAAGAAAAGGAAAGGACCTACCATGACTTCCAGTTTTAGTTTGGACTGCATTCTTTTTTATGTGTGGGTGCCAGTTGTAAGGCTTGAACTCAGCGCCTGGGTGCTGTTTCTGAACTATTTTTTGCTCAAGGCTGGCACTCTACTACTTGAGTCACAGCTCTACTTCTATCCTTTTGCCTGGACTGGCTTAAAACACTATTTTCAGATCTTAGCTTCCTGAGTAGCTAGGATTACAGGCATGAGCCACCAGCATCTGACTCAGAGCACGTATTTTTTTTTTTAAAGGAGATATCATTCTTTGCTTTTTAAATAACTTCAAATAAATAAAATAAGTTACTAAAATAGAGAGAGAACTCTCATATTTTCATCAATGTATATGCTCTCGTTGCTATTTCGTACTTCTGTGGAGCTCCTTTTAATAGTACTTAAAATCAATCTGAATACCAGGTACAGTGACTCACACCTGTAGCCCGAGTTGGTTGGGAACTAGAAATCATGGGGATCATGGTTCAAGGCCAACCCAGGAAAAAAGTTTGCCAGCCCCATCTCAGCCAACATGAAGCTGAGTATGGTAGTGAGTACCTATCATCCCAGTTAGATGGGAAGCATAAATAGGAAGATCAGCCTAGGGAATGAATAAATAACAAAAGCAAAAATGGGCTGTGGGGGGGGGCATGGCTGCTGTGGTAGAGCACCTACCTAGAAAGTACAGATTCCTGAATTCAAAACTAGCACCCCCCAAAAAAGAAATCAATAACAATGTAATCACTATATACCAGGCAAGCACAGTATTTGTGTTATCTCACTCTATTTTCCAGTCACTCTTCCAGATATCCATTTCCATCTTATATCACAGGTGATATTCTTTTTTTTTTTGGGGGGGGTCCGGTCGTGGGGCCTGAACTCTGGTCCTGGGCGCTGTCCCTCAACTCTTCAGCTCAAGGCTAGCGCTCTACCGGGTCCGGTCGTGGGGCCTGAACTCTGGTCCTGGGCGCTGTCCCTCAGCTCTTCAGCTCAAGGCTAGTGCTCTACCACTTGAGCCACAGAGCCACTTCCGGCTTTTTTTCTGCTTATGTGGTGCTGAGGAATCGAACCCAGGGCCTCATGCATGCAAGGCAAGCGCTCTACCACCGAGCCACCTTCCCAGCCCATCACAGGTTATATTCTTGAGGCTTAAGTGGAGTTGCAAAACTAGGATCAACCTTACTGCCTTTGCACATTCCAGTCTCTGTACAAATGGCACCATTCTCAGCGCACAGTAGAAGGGTGCACCTGACAAATAATGGATCTCATGGTCCGACCTTTCTTGCCTCACTCCATCTTTTCTATTTCAGGCCCCCTCTTTTTACTGAATGCGGAGCAAATTGCAGAGGAAATAGGAAATATGTGGAGGACAATCTACAAGTTAACCAAGACCTTGGCTGACGTGCCCGCACCCCGGCGCTTAGCAGAAAATGTCAAATTGAAGATTGAAAAATTCAAGCAGCATCTCCCTATCCTCAGCATTTCCTGCAACCCCGGAATGAAAGACCGCCACTGGCAACAGGTTCTTGTCATTGTTTGTGCCAGGCAGCCCAGCCCATTCATGCCAGGCTGGGGGATTCCCTGGGATGGCAGGAGACATTATCAAGCCAAGCTCCTTTTTGCTGAGGGTCCAAGGGGCATAGTAACAGGCCTCATAGCTTTCTGGGTTTTGAGGTTGTGTGTGTGTTGTGTGTGTGTGTGTGTGTGTGTGTGTGTGCACGTGCATGTGCACCATGATTTGAACTCAGGCCCTTGTGCTGTCACTTAGCTTCTTTTGCTCAAGGCTGGAATTCTACCACTTGAGCCATACCTCCACTTCTAGCTTTTTGCTGGTTAATTGGAGAAGAGTCTCTTGGATATGTCTTCTCCAGCTGGCTTTGAACAGCTATCCTCAGATCTCAACCTCCTGAGTAGCTGGGATTACAGGCGTGACCAATGGTGCTTCCTAATAGCCATCTGGAGCAAGGGATGGGATGGACTATAGAATGAACTTCCTGCTTTGTGATAAGGTTGGGATCCCGTTGCTGGTGATTGAATATTGTCTCAGCCAGTAATTTTCTTGTCAGTTTTTCCAAGCAAATGGCTGCTAGAGATCCTGAGGAATGCTAAGGGTATTAAGTCACAGTGAGAAAAGCTTGATTAGTTCCGTATCCTAGCATACACAAAAGTGAATGTTACATCCTTCCTTGGGAGCCTGCTAATAACACCAGAATATATCTACCTTTGCGGTAGAGATTCATGGTCAAACAGGCTAAGCTCAGAATTAATTCTTGGTACTCTTCCCCCACCCCCAGCCCTTTGAACCTATAAATGGGAATGATATTATCACTAAAAATAGTTTCTATAAGCAACCAAGCAAATGTGAGGTTAATAAATGCGGTGTGAACACTGAGCGGAAAGAAGGAAACTCACATTGCATTTCTAAAAGAAAAAAAACCTTTATCAACATCAAGGACTTGCAATGTATTTGCATCACCTGTGAGAAAGTATAGCCCTGAGCCCAGTGGCTAGGAGTGATCTCTCCAGGAAGACAGAAATTTCATATGGGAGAAATTTGGGATTTTTCTGTAAGAAGAAGCCACTTTCAATTCCTCAGCAAGAATGAAGACCCAAGTGAAGGGTAGGAGGCTGTAAGGAAAACAGCAGAGAAGTCATCTCAGTGGTCATCTGGTTTTCAAATGTCCTGGAAGCTGACCTTTCTTAGTCCTCATGGGGCTCCTTTTCCTATGGATTTTGGCCAAACTAGTTCAGGAGGTCCAGGAAGCAGGTGGCCTATGGCAATACTGGGTTTTTCCATGAGATGGCACTGTGGCAGTTGTCTTCAATGTGTTTTTATTTATTTATTTATTTTTATTGTGAAAATACTGTACAGAGGGTTACAATTACATGAGCAAGGTAATGAGTACATTGCTTATCAAGCACTGTTGCCTCCTCCTTTGTCTTTCCCCTACCATCCCTGCCCTCCCATCTCCACGACTACACTACCCGGCCTCTCTGCCCTGCCAAAGTTGTAAAGTTCGTTTTTCAACATAACATTCTGTACATCTCATTGTTGCAATGGGACCACCTGTATCCCTATTTAAACAATTTTTCCCCTTCCCCTCCCCAAATTATACCACATCAAATACAGTGAAAACAGGGGTTATACAATGGGGGAGGGACATACAAAGCAACAAAAACAATCACCTTATAAATATGTTAGAAACAATAGCAAGAAAGAAAAAACCACTTGTGTCCTTATCTTGGGGTTTATTTCACCTAACATCATCTTATCTACCTTTTCTGCTTGTCTCAGACATATACTAGTTATAGGAAAAAGTAAAACCATAGGACCTATGTTTCTTTGGGCCTGGCTTACTTCACTTAATATAATTTTTTCCAAGCCTTTCCATTTCCTAACAAATGGGACAATGTCATTCTTTCT